TCTCCTAGGCCTGAACAGGCTCAGGATTTTGCAGTTTCAAAGACCAGACAAGGCAAAGCCATCTCTGCTGGTGGCTCTAGTGTTCATGGATGGAGAAGCTAGTTAGTCCTAAATACTACAGTGCTTTAGCTGTTTTTTATAGAAAAGAGAAATTCATCCCAAAGTCTTTGTTGTATACAGAGACACAGTTCTGCTAAAGACTCACAGCTAAGTTAATACTGTTAGACGTAACGGTTACAATATGGTGAATCTGATTTAGATAGGCTTGTTCTTCAGAAATCCAGGGGGGACACGGAGCAATTATAAGTTAATTGCATTTTAACTGGGAAGGTCATGGCAAAAGAATTATATGTAATTCCACTAGCAAAGCTCCCTACCAGTTGTTCATTCAATAGGGAAATAGGTGGAGGGGTTCAGAATTGCAGGAAAGAAAATGATGTGTGGTGTGGTATCACAGCATTTCTCCCAAACTTGACTTATTGGAACAATTTTGACAGGAGGCATCAACATGGTTCTGCAGAGTTAAGTACATTGCTATAAATCATTTATCCATGGACTGCGTAATAGAAAACAAAATACAAACTTAATACAGAGTTTAATGTCTTAAGGGCTAGTCAGAAAAGACAGAGACATGTTTGTTCTTGCCGTCTGTGATCCAATGAATCCTTAATTAGATCAAGTTCTGTAGAAATAGCTTCTATGGGAGAGTTCTCCTGTGCAGAGTAGGCTATAGAGCAAGCACTTTTACTTTCATGGCTTGAAATACCTAAATAGATTGCCCGCACCACTCTGTTCTGTCCATCTACTTCTTAGTCTATCAGAGTACCTCTGCAGACTATCAGTCTTACAGGCAACTCTGCACAGCTTAGAGGAAAGCACTACCAAAAATGTAGACTTGGGATGAGACTCTGTCCCTGATATTTTCTTTAGATGCCTTCTGCTTCAGGTTTTGCTATGAAGTGCGTTCTGCTGCGTATGATTGTTTCCACAAGTTGCACGGGCATGGTTTAGTGCTTGACATACTGCTGTGGATTCCACAGCAGGGATCGGGAACGGAAATGCTTTTGTGTATTTAGCCTTTAATTGTTTTGCCCTGGTTGCTTCTTATGTGGCATCACTGAGACAATATTAAGTATCAAAAGACTGAGGCCAAATGAGCTGTAAAGCAAGCAAGTCTTCTAGAAAAGGAAAGTATATATCTTACTACAATTTTTATGATAGTAAACAAAGCCAAAAAAACTTGAGAAAATCTAAGCTTCTACAGTTGATATGAACTGATGTTGTCTCCTTCTGGTGGGCTATATCTTTCAAAGGGTGGAGAATTAGAATATGGCAAAAAAAAAAAAGGGCCATTAGTGGCACTATACAAAGGAACTCATATTTTGTACTGTGTTCAGTATTTGTTCGTGTGAACAGGGAAGTTCAAGATATTCACAGTAATTATCTGACACATTGATTTTCTTTTTTTCTTTAAAGCAGACAGAGCCCTAGTAATTCTTTATTAATATTTAAGCTCTGCAATCTGGATGAATTTGGTAGCTAATAGTGTATCTTGTACAATGCTAGGTTTGCTGAATCTTAGTACAGGCACAGTGACAATAGTCCAGAGCTGTTTGGAGCTCTCTGTGAGATCTGCCTATGCGTAACAAGAGGTCAAGAGGTTTAGAAACAGGACCAGAAGAGATCAACAGCCTCTTCAGCCCCTCCATACTCTAGAATTCTGTGGCTTGCTCCTTCCTTAGCATGTTCTTTATGCATTCTCGGTGTCTAAGTGTTACCACTACCACCTCAGTCGCGTACCTCCTGCCCGTTTTCCCAATCTCCACTCACTCATTCGCTGTGCTTCTCCTGCTGCTTCATCCCCTTGTTGCACCAGCTCCTCCACTGCCTTCTTGCATCTGCTGCTGATCCCAGTTGTTGCTTCAGTACTGCTACTGCTTACTCGCATCACTGAGATGGGAAAGGTAGTTCAAGGAGCAGGCTGAAAGACACAAAGGTATGTGGGATAGGGAAGAGAAAGTAGTGGCAGTGAGCTCTTCAAAAAGATCTGGTATCTAGCTCCTGCCTCATTACATACTTGGAAGTTTGTAAGGAAGAAGGGTATCCTACTTGAACGGTACTCTGGAGAATTGGGAGTCTGCCCCACCAGATCTTAGGAATTCCCATTAGTTGCCACGTTAGGTGAACACAGCTATTCCAAGACAGTCTCTAATGGTGTGCTTTACTTTCCTTGGTACCCATACTGAAATGCTGTGCTTGGCTATGTGAAAGCCTATTTGGTGAGTAGTTTTTTTAAAACAGATCATAAGAACCTTCAGTTGGGCCACTTAATTTAGTGGATACTTTAATCTTCTAACTGTAAAACAAGGATAATTTTCTGTGTACCTGTAAGTATTAAAAAACTTAGTCTGTTTTTTATAAGAGAAATTAGTCTTCTGTAATGGCAGTTAAAGGGGTTCCACCAAACTGTGCTTTTGAAAGGTCCACATTTGATTATACTATTAATAAAATGTTGAGATTCTGTTGTATTTACTCAAAACGGAGTCTGAAAAAACTAGTTCAACATCATTCGCGTAGGATTTTCAGAAAAAAGGGTTTGGTTTGACTGCGGGTGAAGTGAATTCATGATTGTGTATGGCAAGGAACCGCAAGGTTATGAATGCTCAAGGAAGTATTACTTACTTAGAGTCCCTTTACAGCACTCCCTTGTATTTTTGTATCAGTGGCATTATATTTCCTTCTTTTGTGTTTACTTTTACCATTGACTTAGTCTCAAGTTTATTACTGTATTAACAAGGATTTTGTGTGTGAAGTAGAAGACTTTTCTTCCTAGCCCTGCCAATGCTACATTATTATATTCTAATAGGCTGACTTTTGTCTAAACTAATCCAGCAATCTATGTTATTTCAGCACACTAATTCTAATGACTAATGTTTGCACACGGTTGTTGTGGACGCTCTGCTTATATGAATTCGGAACTTGATCCTGTTTCTCGTAAGTCAGCAGAAAAATAATATTAAACTAATAAAATAATACTAGGGAGCAGGACCAAGACAAAAAAAGTTCAGATTTCATTCAACTACTAACAGTGACTGAATGTTTTTTAATTAATTCCATTTAGGTTTTAAGAAAGTAATTAAACTGTCCAAGGCCTGAAACTGAGGTTTGGGAGATATGGATTCTGGTTCCAATACGGTCTTCATTTGTATGTGCCAAGACAATTTTCATCAGTGCCTCACTTCACCCCAAATTAAATTGGACAATAGTACTTGACAGGGGAATGTTAAGTTTTAGCCATTAGGGCTTTGAAATCTGTGATGGATAAGTTTAGTGCCTGAAAACAAAGTATTTTTGTTCCATTTTAAAATAAAACTAATGCTTGGGTGATAAAAAGAAGTGCTGTGAAGCAACCCTCTGTTTTCTCTCTGTTTAAATTAAATATGGACAAACCATGGCACACCTTGCCTGTGAGGTCACACGAAATGAAATGAACAATTGGCACACTAGAGGGGCAAGAACTGTAATTTTTTTCTTCTCTGTTGCTTCCAGAAAGCTCTTGTTGACATTGTGGTTACTTTTTTAGATGTTGTATTGTTGTTAGGCGCTCCAGAGCTGCTGAATGGTACTCCCTTCCTAATACTGCTCATTTTTAATTGGGGTTTTAGAGACAGTAATGTCAGTAACTGGCTGTTTCCTGGAGCAATTCAGGCTGGTAGCAGAACATTAAATATCTTATTTACAAGCAGATGAGTACCTCTGTGCTTGCCAGAACTGGGTGGACTGATCTTTTTAACACTAAGGATATTTGAGAAATTCAGGAACAATGTAGTAGCTTTTCCTTTAGGCTGGCTATGAATCCGAAATTCAACTAACAGTCTTAAAAAATCATAAATGTGGGCCAAGTTTTGAGGGTTGAGTTAGTTTCAAGCCCATTCTTCTCCTTTACTCCCTGAAAAAAACCTTATTTTTTGGAAAGTACCAGATCTAATTTCTTCCTCCCTTCTCTGGCCTAGGGCTCTAGTATCCTGAAAGAGAGTTTTTCTCCAGCTTTCCAAGGTCTTCATAGGAACCGGTCCCCACTCTTACAATGCCTGCCTGCATATAACTTCTGTTTTTCTTTCACGCATGACATACTTAATGGACACTTGCAGAACATAGCTGTCCTGTCAACCCGAACTAGAGATCCACAACGGTTTTTCACCGATAGCATTGTGGTACTAGGTCTAAACCTACAGTGTGCTGCACTGCTTTCCACAGCTTTTCTCCTTGGTTGTGGTGCTCTGGAGACCTGAAGTTCCTGGCTGGATGTGTTAGTGTATGCCTGGTTCCAGAAAAGCGAATTTGGAGACATAAGGCCTATCAGTTGTGTTGGCTTCTGCTCTCCATGAATATGAAATCACATGGGTAGTTACCAGATATTTGTGAACATCCTGGAAGAAGGGAGAGAAAATAATCTGTCCCTGAAGACAGTAAACTCAGAAAGGGCACTCACAATTCCTTATGGTAATTCTTGCACTAAGTATGAGACTTGTTAGAATTAGAAGAGGTTTGTTTATACAGGGAATGAGTCGCATAGAGACCCAATAATTACATTGGAAATTAGAGAATATACTTAACCTCTTCCAGGTTTGGTTGGTTAAAACTATGCAATAAGATGACTTTTTAGCATTCTCTCTTTACTTGTGCAATAGCAGAAATAATGTAATTCTTTACAGACCATTTGTATTTTAAGGTTACTTCGAGCAGATTCATAACCTTTTGTTTCTACACATACCTGAAAACTGTCTTTTATTTGCAAATAGTTTCTTTGGGTTTTCTTAAAGCAAGGGTACTGTTTCCTTGTTTGTAACCACATAGGAGTTAACATTTTATGGCTGATAGACATTCTTTTTCAAACGAGGTATATTCTCTCCTTATTCAGGAAGCTGGTGGGTTTTCTACGTACATGTGTTGGCCCCATTGTCTGTCTTCTTTTTACCTTTCTGCTTTTTCTTTTACAGATGTCACCAGTCATCAGTAAGTCAAGGGACCTAAAATGTAGCTCTGAGCGTGACACAGACAGAGACTTACCTGCAACACAGTAAGCAAGAAATATTTAAAACAGTTTGCAGTGTTACTTCTAAAACGGCTGTTAGAAAACTGTGAGAAATGTTGGACGGGTTATTTTGTTTTATCAAGCAAAACAAGAAGGTAGCTTTAGGATCGTCATTCAAAAAGTGCTTCACACCTGAAATGTGAAGGAAATAACAGTTTGTATATACATACACACACACATATGCATACACACACTCTCCCCCAAAAAGAGCAAGGGCTATAATATACATGAGAATCAAAACTCAGGGGTATGGGATTGCCCCGTGGCATCCCTTAGCTACATATTAGGCTTTATTGCTACAAACTCCAAACTATTTTTGCACCTTCTGAAAATTAATTCATATAAATTGCAAAAGGTGGTCACAGGCTGAGAAGATGCAAGCTAGCATCTTTGATTGTGACAGTAGCATTTTTAAAAAATGCTGTGTGTTCGTTGTGTCAAGGCTGTAAGCAGATAAGATCTCAACATTTTGAACCAGAGTTTCCACAATATCTTTAGCTATCGCAACCATTTATACTTCAAAAAATACATCTGAAAACACTTCTTGTGTTTGCCATTACAGGTATCTGTCATCTAAGCAAAGTTACTTCACTGATTGTTTTTCAGACTTGTCCCCTCCCCATATAAATAACCTGTACATATACAGTGTAGATGCAGATACAGGTCTAATTTTAACTTATCTTTAAATCTTAATTTTCTGTCTCCAGCTGTATCTAGATTTGAAAATAAATTGTGAGTGGAATGTTTAACCATCATGTACGATATGGAATGGGCTGTATAACTACACATTGATAGAACTCAGCATTGAATTTTAGGCATAACTCTTCTGATAGGATGTATGTTAAGGAAGGAAGTGCCTTAAAAGCACAGTTACTGTGACGGTTGATACAGTGTGTTAGAAGCCAGTATCAAAAATTTGGTATGACTCAACTCCATTAGTAGAACTTCAGGAAACAATTATTTTGAGTGCATCCACTTCCAGGGCAGACACTGAAGAATGCGGGACCACAGATTTAAAATGTGGAATCACAAATGATTTAATCAAATTCAAGAATTTCAAGTCATATCAAATGTGTATTACTCATTTTAATGGAAACTGAGGCTGTCCTGAGAAGAGGTCACACTGAAGTGTCTTACTGAAGAAACAGCCCCGAAACCACTTCAGTTACATTTCAAAAAGATGAGAGAAGAAACCTACATGCCTGTGTCACTGGAATGTACTCTCTCCTCCAGAACTATAGGGAGCAGGAGTATCACTGAGATGCCAGTCTGAAGTCATGCTTCATGTCATTGCTGTCCTATCTGGGCAAAGAGCAGTGTTGCAGAGCCACATTCACAAGCTTTTACAGTACTGAGCTGTGGATGCCTGATCATTACTGAAAGACACGATCAGGTAGCATTTGAAATTACACCTTGTCAGGGGAGAACTAATTTGAAAGGGAGGGAGATATCACGGCTTTGCTGCATTTGTCCCCAGTGCTTACGTTTTGTCTGACGTGGAGAGGGCAGGTTTTACTGCGTGTTTTAAGATCAGAATGCAAATCTGAGTAACATCTATTCCTGATGTAAAGCTTGAATCTGAAATTACGTACTTTGCAAGCTCTTCCATGAACTAGAACATAATGAAATGTGATTCACTTGTCTTTGTAATTATAGCAATGACTGCATATACCAAGGTTTTTTTCAGAAGAGACTACAAGTTTTTGCTTTATTTTGAGAGCGAGAAGAGAGAAGGATCTTCTGGCATTTCTGATGCCAGTAGTTTGGAAGACCATTCCATATTTCTGTTTATAGGCTATGTAGCACAGATTAGATAATAAGACATATCAGAAACATGGCTGCATATTTTTCATGAAAACTCTCACTTCTTTGTACCTGAAACCATGACCTGCAGGGGCTGTGACAGAAGTGTAGTTTTCTTGTTCACTGCAGTTCATGTCTTTGAAATAACCTTTAAAAATGACATGCCTGCAAGCGTTGAGGTCTTAACTTGAAAAATTTTCTATTTTAGCATCTAAAAGCTATATTGACGTGACTCGAGGTCCAGTCTAATCTATACTTAAATAGTTGCTCCACCTAAAATATTCTGTTATCTTCCTGTTTTCTGTGAAACTACACCAAATATTCGTGTCACGTGTTGGTATATAATAGGAATTACGCAGTAATTAAACTTGATAAGAATCAAGTGAGATGTGATTACCAAGTATGGACTTTCACTATGGAAAAGTGGAACTGTTAGCACCCGCACAACTCACTGTACCTTTCTTTGGACCTCCAAATGAATGTTCGCTGTTTTGCCTATTAGAACAGTATTCATTATGGCCACTATACCTGCTGTAAATGAAAGTAAATGGCAAGCCCTTATGACATGTCTATCTTTCAGAATTTCTGGACGGAAATAGGAAAACAAATTTTATCTGAGATGGCAGTACATTTTTATCTTAGCCAAACAGTTAACCTATCTTCTGCAGACTAGAAGAAATAGAGACATGTCCACATAATACGTGCTAAGTGAACCAAGGTTTTTATCCAAGTTTCTCAAAGATTTGGTACGATTTGATACGCTATCACATCTTATGTGCAAATACTGAAAAGATGAAAACTACTTCTCAAAATTTGAGTAGCTTTATACTGAAAATCTGCATAGTAGCCTCACCCTATAAATATTAACAACTAGATACTGTTAGTCAGTACAGTCAGTATCTCCTTAGATATATTCCCATTGTACAGTTTTGTTGAGCTACACTAGGTAGTGCTCTTTGCATAAATTTACAAGTGATTACACAGCTGATCACTCTGGTAGGTTGGTACTTATATTACTGATCAATTATGATTTTGTACCCTGGTTTCCTCATGCAGCAGTACGTCTCAAAGTGTTCCAGGAACCCTAACACAGAGAGTCTTAAACTCCAGAACCTTTTCCTTCAGGATTTTCCAGTATTAGAGCTGCAGCAATTAGTGTGTTCATGAATACACAATTTAGCTTAAAAAAAAAAAAAATTCGAACTATAGGCAGATAGCCATCAGTCCATTAGCAAAGCTGATGTGTAAACATTTTCTTCTATAAAGCATGATTACATTAGGACAGTATCACCAACAGTAGTGCTCTTGCAGCACCCTTTCTGGGGCAACTGCACACATGTCAGTACATTCTTTAGTCTTGATTCATCCACTCACTTATGTGTTGCAGCAGCATTCAGCATAACAGTTCTGGTCACAAACCAAGACCTCTTTGTCCTAGGCACAATACAAATTTTGAACGAAGAGAGTACCTGCCCTTGAAAGGTTACAGTCAGTATTAATACATATTTATAGTTAAATAAAGCTACACCTTCTTCCAAGAGTGGGAATTCATGGTAGAAGTGGTGTAACATCATCTGTAAGACCAGTCTAATTCCCTTGTTAAAGGCACTAACTAGGAAAGATACAGAAGCTTGACTGATGCTTTTGGCATTGTATGAAGTCTGATAAGCATGAGTAGACATTAAAGTGATTTCTAATTCTATAAATCTGTCATAGTTCAGGTAAATTAAAATGGAAGACTAATCTTACGTACTTTGCCTGCCTGTCTTGATGAATAAATAAACCAGGAATCTGCAAGTATTTTGGTGTTTGAGCTTAGGAAAGAAAAAAAAAAAGTGTGCAATGGCTTTTATGAGAGGAGAAGACTGGTAATTTGTATTTTCTAATTACATCTGTTGACTATTGATCAAGACTAACTGATCAGAGCTCAGAGGGTTGTGGTTAGTGGTGCAGTCTAGTTGGAGGTTAGTAACAAGTGGTGTCCCTCAGGGGTCAGTACTGGGCCCAGTCCTGTTCAACATATTCATTGATGATCTGGATGAAGGGATAGAGTGTACCATCAGCAAGTTTGCTGATGACACAAAACTGGGAGGAGTGGCTGACACGCCAGAAGGCTGTGCCGCCATACAGCGAGACCTGGACAGGCTGGAGAGTTGGGCAGAGAGAAACCTGATGAAATTCAACAAGGGCAAGTGTAGGGTGCTGCATCTGGGGAGGAATAACCCCATGCACCAGTACAGGTTGGGGGCTGACCTCCTGGAGAGCAGCTCTGTGGAGAGGGACCTGGGAGTCCTGGTGGACAACAGGATGACCATGAGCCAGCAATGTGCCCTGGCGGCCAAGAAGGCGAATGGCATCCTGGGGTGCATCAAGAAGAGTGTGGCCAGCAGGTCGAGGGAGGTCATCCTCCCCCTCTACTCTGCCCTGGTGAGACCGCATCTGGAGTACTGTGTCCAGTTCTGGGCTCCCCAGTTCAAGAAAGACAGGGAACTGCTCGAGAGGGTCCAGCAAAGGGCAACAAAGATGATTAGGGGACTGGAGCACCTTTCTTATGAGGAAAGGCTGAGGGACTTGGGTCTCTTTAGTCTAGAGAAAAGAAGATTGAGGGGGGATCTTATTAATACATACAAATACTTAATGGGAGGATGCCAGGGGGATGGGAGCAGTCTTTTTTCAGTGGCGCCCAGTGATAGGACGAGGGGTAATGGGCATAAACCTGGACGCTGTCCTGTGCAACCTGTTGTAGGTGACCCTGCTCTGGCAGGGGGGTTGGACTAGATGATCTCCAGAGGTCCCTTCCAACCCTAACCATTCTGTGATTCTGTGATTTTTAAGATCATGAGCAGTTCTTTTCAAAGCAATGCTATGATATGTTGAAAAGTAGACTAGTGGAGTGGCCTCAGATTTTGTCTTCGTGTTTTTTCTGTCTTTGTTCTGCTCTGGAATGGTATTTTTTTGTAGCTGTTTCAGCATTGTACTCAAGGGGGACAGGCAGACAATTGCTCTAACACATCAGCTGTGGATGGAAAAAGCGCTAAATTTGGGCTAACTTTGTGTTTCTTTTGCTCTTTTTATATCCACCTTTCTCTAGAGGTGCAAAGAAAAAGAAGAAAAGGATACAGAAGAACGCAACAGAAAATCAGCACAACTTAATGGGTCTCAGTACTCCTGTATCATCAGTTACAGCTAACAGTGTTGAAAATGGACCTATAGCCCATGGGGTGGAGTTGAAGAAGAAAAAAAAGGCAGTGAGAGGCTCAAAGTTAAGCACAAATGGAAAGACAAATATTGCCTTTGAGCCTGAATGCTATGACGTATAATCATAATTTAATTCTAAATACTGGTGTGATATTCGGCATACTCATTGAAGGCGGCAACTACAATCTCACGTCTAGGATTAACAAGAAACAAAGAAGTTAAAATACTCAAATATGCAAAATGGCACCAGTTGTGACTTACCAACGGTGTAAACCTGTTTTGGAAGACTTTTGTCCCGGGTTCCATGAAATCAACAGGTCTTGAATGTTCAACTCCTCACTGGACTGGTAAAATCTGAAAATGACTTTCATATTTTCAAGAGAACCCCACTGACAGATGGCAATGTTAACCAAGGTAATATCTGGTTACCCCTTAACTAAGGGTAAACAGGCAGTTCTGTAGACTGTAGATCAATCCATTGGCAGCAGAGAATCAAGTAAAAAAGTGTAATGTAGAGTAAAACAAGCCAAACTACTGCGTAAGTTATTAGTGTTTTAAAACGTGTTGTAAGTAAAATAGAGGAGTGTTCAGAATGGTAAAATTCCAAAGGAACGCTGACATTACAGTCTACCTGAAAACAAATGCTTATTTTTAAAAATACTGTCCCGACATAAGTACTCACTTGGACTGCATTTTGCAGCTTTGTGGGGAGTTGTTGAATAACTACCTATGCAACTACACTGTCTTCAGTGGGACTGCTCATGCTTACCAATGTAAATAAGTGTTGCAAACTCCAGGCAGTTCTATTTTTCAAATGAGGTTTTCTGCACGTAATAAAGGTGCATTTGCAGTTTTGTCAGAGTTCCTTGGCTGCTTTGGCAGCAGTCTTGCCAAATATACTTTCTTTTGTCTGAATGAAATATTTCATATCCAACTGTGCTGTTTGTTTTACTTGTAGTCCTTATTCATTTTTACTTGTCATTAATCTATTTTTTTACTTGAGTATTATGTTGTGAACTTTTACTAATGACTTCACTAATTATCTACAGGGCTAAATAATTTATGGTTTATATTAAAGGAAACACTTTCTATCAGTTAGTGTTGGTATTTTTTCTGGCTGATGATGTCCAGTTTATTTTTACTCTGCTAGGAAATTCTTCCTCCTCCCCCTCTGAAGCAATAAATAACATAAAATTAGAAAGCCCTTATTTAGTAGACAGGGCACTTGATTCCATTAAAAAAAGAAGTGAGAATAACAATGTTGGGCACTGATGTGTGAAATGCACCCAGATGCAGAGGACTAGTTGCTATATATTGTAATATCTTCCCTGCACATGTTTTAAAGCCAGAAAAATCTGTAAACTTGTTTCTTTTGAGTAAAGCACGGCAGCAAATACTCTTTTTTAGTTCCACCGGTAGTGGTTCTTTGCCAGCAGTCCTAGCTTTGCTTTGCCTAGAGCACGCGTATGGAGTTCTCCCCTAAATGGGACTTGCATATGTGTACTGGAAACTTATATTAATGTCTCTTTCCCCAGTCAGAGGCATTATAAAATTATCTTAGTGCTGGGACTAGCCTTCTAGAAGCGAAGCTCCTGGCCTCTTGTCTCTCTGCTTTTGCAATATATTCCAGCTCATCATTCTGTGTGACGTGGGATTTAAAGATTTCATAAAAGAGAAACATCTCAACATCTTACATTTCTTAAAACGTCCTGGATCACATTTAAAATAAGGGCAGAGCATGACATCAGGCTCCACGTCAGGGAGAGCTGAGCAGTAGCCAAGATCTGGGAGCTCATTGGAAAGCATTGTAAAGTGTTAATTTGGCATTGTGGACACTGAAGACAGAAATAACACTTCAGATAAACACCACAGAGAGATGGTAGTTCTAATCAAAGGCACAGCACCTCCTTTCATGCTTGCGAACTAGGGCTCCAATTATGTTCACTGCTCTGAAGCTGAATAGAGCTGCTTTGCCACACTTTCCAAATTGAGAGGAGAGGCAGCAGTAGTGTCTTTCAAGGCACCGTTCCAAATAACAATTAAGCAGAAGGAATCAGATAAGAGCCAAACATGAAAATGCAGGGACTTGAAAATAAACTTTTCATAATGTTTTCTTGTAATTGCCATAGCTTTTGGTTTGTTTTGTTTTTATAATTTTTTTTTCCTCCCTACCACATGGTTGTTTAGAGACTTCTATTGCTTTATACCGTGTCATTCTGGTACTAGTTTTCCGCATTCGTTTAACAGAAAATGAACAAAAAGACCTGAAATAAAAAAAAAAAAAGAGTCTAAATGATCCTCCACTATTAAAATTAGAACCTTCAGACTAAAATATCTTAACTAATCATTAACATGGTATAATGGCAAAGTTTTTTTACCTCTTGTTCAGAAATAATGGCTGATACATTCATTTTAAGAAAAACTGCTTTTCTCTTCGGTGTTAGTAGAGTCATTATTCTTCAGACATTGCAGCTGAGATTTTGAACTTACAAGAAAGGGTAAAACTTTTAAACAGTTTGGATTAGGGCAATGGTTTAAAAAAAAAGTTTTTAAGTTAAACTTTATGTAACGCTTCTTGTTTCTGTGTTAATGCAACCTACATTTTTAAAAACCACTTAAATGTGAGTATTGTGTACATTTGCTGAAAATTGTCCATGTATTTAAAGGACTTAAATTTCAGTGGAAGAAAAGAATTGCCTACTGAAAATTTTCCTCCTTTTTTTAGTTGAACTACATTAACTATCCTAAACGTGAGTGCCCTGCAAAATTGCTCCCTGAGGCATGAATTAAAATAGAGTTATAAAAGTCTATTTGAAGAGTTTTTAGAGGGTGATACAAGTTCATTGCTGGAACAAAGCAGATAAAACCTTTTTTGAAAAAGGGTAAATATTAGATATTTAGAACTGCCTGGCGATAACAGCATAGTAGGTCTTTCATTGTTCTGGTGTTTTTAGGTTTTGTGTGGGTGGCTACAACATACAGTTCCTATTACATTTTTATGACATCGAGAACAACGCATAAATTAACAAAATAGCAAAGAAGGGATGGTGCATTTTTGCTGTGTTTCCCAATAGCCATCAGATTGCATTTATTTTTTTCCTTAAAATAATTTGAGGGACAGACATCGTAAAACACAATAAGTGTATTTGTAGCATCACTTAATTCAGAAGGCGGTAGGGGATGGATCACAGTCAAACAAGGGCTAATGAGAACACAGAGGAACATGACAACTGAAAGTCTCTGTTGACTAGTGAACTAAATCTGCCGGCTGGACCCGATTGTCTGGTGGAGAATTGAATGTCAGGATCATTTAGGGTTAACAATGGCCCATTACAAGCAAAAGCAGACAGCTATGAAAAATAGCCGGCATGGTAGCCATTCTGCGGAGACCGTGGATACAAACTTGATAATGAGGCACTTCATTCACTACATCCTTCTGCTCTAATTGCTAAGGTGAATAGGAAATACTTCATTTAAGGCGGGAACAGACTAAAGCAAAAACACTTGTTTGGTAAACACAAAGAGTGGTGGGGGTTTTTAATGATCCTTTTCTGGCACATATGAAATTAGTATGTATGCAGTGCAACCTATTTTATGGTTGTGGAAATTGGGAGGGGATAGAAGTATTTGCCGAACAGCGGAGGGAGGCTAGACAGATTCATGCCCAAGTTTGTACTGTGGGGTTTTTCCCTTAGCATTCTCTCCAATGACTATCCAGAGTGTTTTGGACAAATTACGGATGTACACCTGCACTTGTAAAAACATACTGTGTTAGTTCAAGGAGTTTTATTGCTTGGAGTATAAAATATGTGCATTAGGAACAAAACTGCTGCATGTAAGGCATAGAAACGAGCGGAGGTCTGAGAGAGGGAAATAAGCAGCTTGAGAAGAAAACTGCTGTCTTGGGGAGACTTGCATGAATGTGGCAATTAGAAATTGGAACTTAAGAAGAAGGAACAGAAGATAGCGAGAAGGCATGTTACAGCAGAGCTTTGGTGGCTTCGTTGTGTTTTTTAGACTTTGGAAATTAAAGATATGTAACCACTTCGCTTTTAAATGCATTTCAGTTTTGTGCTATTTACGGGAGCTTTTTGGATGAACTCTTCGAACCCATGAGGAATATTCTCTTGTGTCTCCCCAGTAACTCATAACCCAACACTGTCCTAACTCTGAGGTGCAGCCCAGAAAAGTCCGTATCATCTGTGGCTTGCAGTGCTGGTGGGATGGCTGGAGCTTTGGTTCCCTAATTTCGGGCACAGGTCTTCAGAGGGCACCTTTATAGTTGTCGTCTGTTGCAATACGCACCTCTGCCTTGATTCAGTCCGCTCCAGCCTCTTAATCCGGCACAAAACGGCTAGAGCAGAGATGAGAATTTCACACTGAGCATCTAGCTGCTGTTTCCGACATTAAGTGTCGTATGATCCTTTTCTTACATGTCGATGTGCTCTACTCACAGTGGTTTTGGCCAGAATTTTGTCCTTTGTTCAGTCTGTTGTGTGCCGGTCGCTTGCTGCCTTCCCCTTCAGGAGGGTCCGTTTGCCAGCGGTGACATACATATGTAGAGTCCCGGTCCTGCAAACTGCTCAGAGTAAACGGACGCCTTTACGCAAAGCTCCAGCAAAGTCGGTAAGGATTAGGCTTTCAGCAGCAGCATCATGGCTGTAGTTTATTCATTGATGTACACTCACTTCAAAGACTGGAAAAAAAATTTCTTGCTTGCACTCGTAAATGAAAATGATAGCTCTGTGTTTCATTTAAAACTCTAGCCACCCGATTTTTTGTGAGGACTATGTGGGGCCAAATGAATTTGCACTATGTTTGGCTGTGGCAGGCAAGTTTACAAGTCCTGTCTAATGCTCAAATGCAAATACTCGGAAGAAACTGCAGATGCCACTTTTAGCGGAAAAATGTTTCCACACCGGTAAAGCAATATCAGTAAAATCTATGCTCTGAGCAGACATCAAATTTTTGTTGCAGTTATATCGCCTGCGCAGGCAGGGAGTATAATAAACTAGTGTGTAGCAGCTGTAAATTTTCTGAGGATTTATCTAACCACAAATACATCGAAATGGGGAAATAGGGCTATATTAAACTGTGCAAGATGCTGCTGGAACTCAGCCAT